TCTTTGGGTGCCATCTTACTGATGTACTCCTGGATGCTCCGGGTTTCATCCAGGACAGTGGGTTTGACACCCATCAGATACACAGATACACACATGCATACATACACACACATATATTTATATACCCATATATACACTTGCATAAAGCTTGGAGGATATATATATACACACACACACACACACACACACACACACAGACATACCGTATTTTTATACTGTTTTTATTGTATTTTAATTAATATTTATTTGTTTTATTGTGAATAACCCAGAGTCACTTCCTCGTGAGATGGACGGTATCTAAATTCAAAATATAAATACACACACACACGCACGCACGCACTTGCATAAAGCTTGGAGGAGATCTATCTATCTCCTCCAAGCTTTATGCCTGCCTGCCTGCCTGCCTGCCTGCCTCCCTGCCTGTCTGTCTGTCTGTCTATCTCACATTTATATAGCCGCCCATCTCATACAAAGTGACTCTGGGCGGTGTACAACAATTAATAGTGAATAAAAACAGGCATATAAAAAGATAAAAAGTTATTATTAAAATAAAAATATTATCACTATTTTTTTTTAAAATTAGGTTTTAAAATATATAAACCCCCACAGAGAGAGCAGGATATCAATTATAGTGGAGCCATCTAAGAATGACTCCAGTTCCCAAAGACCCCCAGGCCTGATGACACAACCAGCTTGAGGGACTTCCTAAACAACAGCAGGGAAGGGGCAAGCCTCACGTCAAGAGGGAGAATGTTCCACACGGAGGGAGCCACGGCAGAGAAGGCCCGCCTCCTGGGACCCACCAAATGCAAGTCCCTGGCCAATGGATTGCATAGCATACCTTCCCTACCAGATCTAATGGGACGGGCTTATGTGACTGGGGAGAGGCTGTCCTCAGATAACCTGGCCTCATGCCATGAAGGACTTCAAAGGTCAAAACCAGCACCTTGAATTGGACCCGGAAGCAAACTGGCAGCCAATGCAGCTCGCAAAGCAGTGGTGTAATATGTGTAATGTGTAATATAATGTATAATCCCCAATAATCAATCTAGTTATAGCAATCCGGTTCATTTTTCACAAATGCCCAAGTGAGCCAGCAAAGCAGCATTTAGTGTTTTCTAGTAAACTACGGAAGTATTCATTGGAATCCAAGCTCTAGTGATGAAACAAAGAAAAAAAAATCTACGTTGCTTGCAAGAGTTAGTCT